CGCGCCGCCGCCGCGGCTCCTGATCACCTCGGACAGCGCCTGCAGGCCGTACTCCCTGACGCCAGACTCGGGGTCCTGGCGGATGCCCCGCCCTGCTCCTCCTCCTCCTCCTCCTCCCTCCTCCTCCTCTCCTCCTCCTCCTCCTCCTCCTCCTCCTCCTCCTCCTCCTCCTCCTCCTTCCTCCTCCTCCTCCTCCTCCTCCTCTCCTCCTCTCCTCCTCCTCCTCCTCCTCCTCTCCTCCTCCTCCTCCTCTCCTCCGCCTCCGCCTCCGCCTCCGCCCGCCTCCGCTCCGCCTCCGCCTCCGCCTCCTCCGCCTCCGCCTCCGCCTCCGCCTCCGCCTCGTCCGCCTCCGCCTCGTCCTCCTCCTCTTCCTCCTCCTCTCCTCTCCCCTCCTTTCCTCCTCCTCCTCCTCCTCCTCCTCCTCCTCCTCCTCCTCTCTCCTCTCCTCCTCCTCCTCCTCCTCCTCCTCCTCCTCCTCCTCCTCCTCCTCTCCTCCTCCTCCTCTCCTCCTCCCTCCTCCCTCCTCCTGCTCCTGCTCCTCCTCCCCTCCTCCTCCTCTCCTCCTCCTCCTCCTCCTCCTCTCCTCCCTCATCATCATCATCATCATCATCATCCATCATCATCATCATCAGCATCATCATCATCATCATCATCATCATCATCATCACCATCATCATCATCATCATCATATCACATCATCATCAGCATCGTCATCATCATCATCATCATCATCATCATCACCATCACCACCATCACCATCACCATCACCATCATCATCATCACCATCATCATCATCATCACATCATCATCATCATCATCGTCATTATCATCATCATCATCATCAACATCACCATCATCATCGTCATCATCATCATAATCAGCATCATAATCATCATCATCATCATCATCATCATCACATTATGATCATCATTGTCATCATCATCAGCAGCATCAGCATCAACATCATCACCATCATCAGCAGCAGCAGCATCAGCATCATCATCATCACCATCATCATCGTCATCATCATCATCATCACTCATCCTCCTCTTCCTCCTCCTCCTCCTGATTGATTGATTGATTATGATTCCCCCCTTCGAACGGTCATATCCTTCAACCAACTACAGCCCGGGGCACGCTTACAATCGGCACCATTCTGGACACCATTCTGGACACAGACACGGCACCGTCGGACCGCGAGAGAATCGCGGGAGGCGACGGCGACGGACGCACGCGACGAGGGGAGCGAGGCGAAACAGGACTGACGAGGAGGACGCGGAGGAGAAGACGAAAGCCCGCCGCGTGCCCGAACGGGCCAGGGCCGCTTACCCCGAGACCCGCTTCTCATTAGCCCACCTACCCCTACCTCTACCTCCCCCCACTGCTTCAGGCCGCGCGCGAGAGCGCCCCTCGGCGCGCGCCCCGCCCTGGCCGCCGCCCCCCAACCGCGGAGGCTCTGGTAGAGCACCGTCTGCACGGCCACGGCCGTGCACTTGTCCGCCTGCGGGATCTCGTGGGAGGACCTCCGCAAGCAACCCTCGTACGTGTTGTCCGCCGCCACTCCTCCCCACGCCTCGCTCTGCTGCTTGTCCAGGGCTTTTGCCGCCTCTCCGTTGTGGGTCACCAAAACGTACCCTTGAATCGCGAGCGTGATCCTCACGATGCCGATGTCGCACGTCGGTAACAGTGTGAACTATTTCACCCAGCCCGCCGCTTCCTCTGGGTTTGCGTGCCTCATCATCGTCACCAGCCTCGTGCACACCCCGCGGTACTTCTTCAACTGGCATGGGCACGAGTCCGTGCCAAACCAGTGCTCGAAGGTGGGGAGAAGACCTCCAAGCACTTACAATTCTGGCGGGCCGTACTTGCGCCCGCCCCCCGCCTCCTTCACCTTCGAGCCGCACGCCATCAGGATACCCCGCGCCACCGAGATCACGTCGTGATCCTCCTGGACGAACATCTGCGCCGCACTCTCGTGCCCCAGCGTCCTGACCCTCGTCTCCAGCTGGCGCGCCAGCCTCGTCATCGCCACGTCCTCGCCCAGGTCCTCATGCTGATTCTTGGTGTCGCGCTGGGTCGCCGTCTTCTCTTTCTCGTCGTCGTTCGCGAGCCACTGCATCCCCGAGCCCGGCCAGGCCCCCCGCGCACTAAAACTCAATCTCGAATCCACCCAGGCACGGTGCCAAGCGCCCACGCACTGCGTGACCACGCAGAACGCGGAAATCTTCCGAGCCGAAACTGCACAACAAACACTCTGCGAGCCCCATATTGATCTCCACCCCGCTCCTGCATTTTGCCCCCGCTACATCTGCCGTTCGTCATCGACGTCTGCATGTGTTTCTGCGCTTGGACCCTCGACCAAACTAGTTCACTGCATATCGCGCACTGGTTATTTTGGCAGCACGCCCATGCCATCACCATCCCTCCGCGCCCCCCCTTCGCGCGGACGTGGCGGGGCGCTACCTGCTGCTCGTTCAGGAATGCTGCTTTGCACTGCGTGTCACCCTCCATCTTCGCCAAGCATCTAAACCGCCCCTCGCCCTCTAGATCTCCCGTCGGCCTCGTCCTTCTCTTCTCAAACTCCCCCCGATGCGTGAAATAGCGCGATAGGGCCCCCCCGACATCAAGCTCCACGAAATCCTCCCCCTCCACCAACAGTGCTCGCGATGGCGACATTTCAACTCCCCCCAACAGCGCCAGTCCATCGTCGAAGCGAGCAAGGCGAGGCACGCCCTGCAGCCACTGGCGGGCCCACGGGCACACAGGCGCCTCAAGCTCGCCATCAACCTCACGGCCCGCGAACTCGGCTTCGCCGAACACCGCCGCGAGCACCTGCCTCCCATCTTCAGGGCGCTGAAGCAACTGCTGCAGCCACCGCAGCCGCCATACTCAGAGATCGACATGTAGCGCAGCCACATTCACCTTCGCCAGCACCTCGAGGTTCGTCGAGCTCCCGATCTTGCCCTCCTCCTCCCACGCCACACCTCTCAGGAGCACCCTCGCATGCCTGGCCGCGAACCCCTCGAGCTCGTTCAGGTCACTGCTCTCGGGGGGGGCCGTGGACTTCGCCATCACCTCGAGGCCCGTCAGCAGCGCATGCACCGCATATCATGTGAAGAATATCGCCTCCCAGTTCTGCGGTGCGCCCGACGCCCAGAAGCTGCCCATCAGATTCCACGCGACCCTGCCGGCCTGGAGCCGCTTCTCAACCTCCGGCATCACCGCGAAGCGCGCCGAGCATCTCGGCCCAAGGTGCCTCGCCTCCGTCACCGTGCGCCCCTGCAGCAGCTGCTCGCCACACAACGCCGGCCCCGTGCAGTACGCGTCCGCCCCCGCGCAGAACATCAAAGCCTCCTGCTTCTCCGCTTATCCTGCTTCTCCTGCTTCTCGCGAGCGCGCCACTCGCGCGGTCGTTCCGGGCCGGACCCACCTCGACGGCCTCCGACACCTTGGAGAACGGGAGCGAGTCCGCCACGTCGTCCACGAACAGCGCCATGGCCAGCTGCGCCACCCCCGCTTCCTCGAACGGGGGTGGCGCAGCTGCATGCTGCCCAAGCTCCGCCACGCCAGGCGCGTACGCCATCACGAACAGCCTCGCCATCGCAGGGCCCCCAATCATGCACCCCTCCCCCATGCACCACACAAGGGCCAAGGGCCCCGTCGAACTGAAAGCGCGCGCAGCCCAGCCTCAGCAACGTCAGCGGGGCGCCCTGCTCTGCCAGCACCCTGATCGCCGCCCTCTTCCGCGTGGCCTTGCTCATCGAGAAGAACGCGTTCGCCGCATCGTGGAATCTCCTTCCACGCTGCAGCCCCGCCGTTCTCATCCCCCAGGCCGTCGCCATCTGCGTCGCGATAGCTCCTTCACGTCTCCATCGCTTCAGACCTCCGCGCGCCCACGCAGGGGCCTCGACCACGGGCGCACCCCCACCATCCCGCCGCAGTAGCCCTCCGCCCACGCACGCACCAGCATCACGATCCGCTCCCCCTTTTCACCCCCCCCCTATCCGCGCCCCCGCCTATCCGCGCTGCCTTCGTCATCACCCAGCTCCGAGGCAGCGCAAGCCTAGCCCTTATCTCGCACAACAACACGCTCATCGCTCTGTAGAACTTCGGCGTCTTCAGCTGCCCGACCTCGCCCCCCCCGCCCGACCCCCCCCCCCCCCCCCCCCCCCCCGCACACCTCTTCATCGCCCTCTCGTTGACCCACTTCGGGAAGAAAGCACGCCTGATAAGCTCCCCGCGCGCACTCCAGCTCGGCACTGCCCTCCCCAGCTTCGCCGTCCACAGCGCGCCCTCCAGCATGTCGAAGTCCCCCTTCACCCCCCCCGTTCGTCGCGACCCTCTCCCAGACCCTCCTCGCCCCCCGGGCCCCCTGCATCTCGCGCGTCGCCACCTCGACTGCCGAGCAACCGCCATCAGGCCCACGCCCTCGCATCCCCCCCCCCACCACCACTCCGCTCTCACGCCTGCAACCCGATGCTTCCCGGATATCCTCTTACGTGCAACGCGACGTCTCTCAGCGAGGAGCCGCGCCATGCGGCGCATCGCGGCGCTGTCCTTCCTCCCCGCCGCACCCTTGAACTCCCGGGCGCAATCCTCCCCCAGCTGATTCGCGTACGCCCTCTTCCTGTTCCGCAACCACTCACTCACCCTCCCCAGTTCGACCGCCAAATCTAGATCCCTCAGGTGCAAGTCCGTGCTGCCCCTCTCCTCCTCGTACCTCCAGCTGCCCGTCACTCCCGAGCCTCTGGTCGGCCTGTCCGCTCACGAAACCGAACTCGCTGACCCTCTCGGCGCACTCAAGGTACTGGAGCTCTCGGAATTTCTCGCGTACATTTCTCTGCTGCAGCAACTCAACCAACCTTCGCACTCTGCAGATTGTGGCCCTCCGTGTACAGCGGCGACGTCGCACAGACGCTCATGCCCACCTGCTTCAGCGCTTCCACAATGCCCTCATTCGTAACATCCATGCGCTTCAGACCCTCCGTCTGCACGACCCGCCCGTACACGTGCTCCATCCGTGCTTCCAACTGCTCCACGAACTCTTTCCGTCGCCAACCCCATCTGCAACAACATAGACATCGCCTCGTCGTTGGGTGTTTGCTGCCTCTCCATCACCTCGCACGGCGCAGCCACAAACTCAAGCAGGATCTCGCACACCAGCGGTGCGTGGTCAGACAAGGTCTTCTGGGAGTGCGCCTGCAGCCGCCATGCACTCGGCTCCTGTATTCTACAATATTTGGCATCAGGCCTCCAGCCTTCTGGGGTCACATAATAATCGAGAACCCGTCCCTCACCATTTGCGTAGTACGTCGCACCCGATGGCCACCAAGTGTTATCCACAATCAGTTCATGCGCCGCTATCACCTCATAGAGCATCGCCGTGGCCATGTTCATCTTCCCCGCTCCGTACGGTCCCACAGCGCTCCCCTCCGATTCAAACTGGCCATTTGCACCCATCATCAGAATCGGTGACCATCTCGCCGACAAAGGCTCATGACTGATACGAACCACCACCCCATGCTCGCAATCGTCGCCGATTAGTGACTCCGTGGCGCTCGATCTCGCGGATGCGGTGGAAGATAAAGCAGTATCGGCGCCACCCTAATCGAACCTCTCTGCAACTTGAACCCTCCGACTTTACCTGGAGTTTCTTGGGGACTGGGAAGAAGCCCTTGCAATCCTTTGTTCCGAACAATCTCTTCTGGACCCACAAGGCCAGCCCACACGATTTGTTCGTCATCGCCCCTCGTTGCCACCCCCAGTCCACACTCCAGTGTCTCCTCGTCGATCTGCTTGTGTTCAGCATCTCCCCCCGAGGACGTCTGTTGTGTGCCGATCAGCCCTACCAGACCCATCTTCCCGAATTCCTCTGCGATATCTCGGCTCCGCTCTGCCTTGGCGGGGCTCGGGCTATATATGTCACGATGCTGAAGCCGTTATAGGCCGCCCGCGTCTGACTCCACTGGGGCGCTTTGGGCCGCTGCCGCGAGTGGTCTACCTGTCGGAAGCGGGCGGGCGGGGGGAGGCAACGCGCGCGCACCCCCGCCATCACCATTTGAGAAGATGCCCACTGCCCTCCTCCTCCTCCTCCTCCTCCTCTTCCTCATCCTTCCCGCCGGGCACCACACAATCATCATCACCATCAAGACAAAAGTCTTGAGCATACATCATAGCAGCAGGAGACATCACCCACGATTTCCCCTCCACACCCCCTTGCAAGCACCCACACACATAAATGTATAGATAGATGCGTGTGCGCGCGAGCATGTATGCATATGTACACACATAGATGAGAAATGTGTGCGCGTGCATGAAGACATACACACGTGTGCCTCGTGAGACAATAGACAGAGGCATAGAAATCGACAGAGACAGAGAGAGAGAGACACAACTACCACTGAAAGAGTGGTGCATATATCTTCACAGATATACATGTGTACATGCATGCATGCACCATGCGGGGATCTGCTGACCTGGGTCAATCCAGACCCAGGTCAGTCGGGCCTTGCAGGATCCTGCAAGATCCTGCACCCAAACCCGGGTCAATGCGAAGGATCCTGCAAGGTCCTGCAGGATCCTGCACCCAAACCCGGGTCAGTGCGACCCTGGCCCTTAAGGATCCTGCAAAATCCAGCGCTCTGGCTGACCTCCGTTTGCATTGACCCCCGTCTCTTGAGCCCCGAACCTATACACATGTACGGCAGGTTCGTGTCGTGCCGACTTCGGCGTTGGTTTCTGACACCGCGGGGATCGTTCAACCTTGAACGAGCGGCCGTTTCGGCAACGTCCAGATCTTTCCGCATTGAACAATTCTGGGTCGCCCGCGGCGCTCGACGTTGAACGCCGCTGGCGGGGTCGCCGCCGGTCCACACGACACAAACCTGCCGTACAGTCGGCCTTGATTGGACAGGACACGCGAGAGGACACAAGACCCTTCCGAGGGCCACATCGCCACAGGCATGCAGGAGGTACACAGGGCACGCGAGAGGCCACGGGTCGCGAGGCACAGGACACAAGGGTACCCTTGATTTGGCAGGGTCGACCTACTAATCCGGGTCGACCTACTGAACCTGGGGATACCAAAAGGTACCGATGCCGCTACTCCCCGGATTTCGAGGCGAACCCAGCGGTGGCGACGAGGGCCGCCCAGGAGGCCCAAAAAGGGGAAAACGGGCGGGGGGGTAGAGGTATCCTTTTCCTCCTCTGAAAACCTGCCGTACACAGACAGCGCGCGCAACTCTGAAGGGCCAGGCCACCGCAGCGCCCCCCCAGCGGCCCCTGGCGGCTTCCTCGGCGTGCCGCCGCAGCGCCCCGGGCGCCGCGCCGCCCCTCGGGGGGCCCGCCGCCACCGCCGCCGCCGCCCGCAGCCGCCGCCGGCGTCGCCTGCGTCGCGGGAGTCCTCTGGGCGTGGTCTGGAGGAGGGAGGGGGAGGAGGAGGAGGAGGAGGAGGAGGAGGAGGGGGAGGAGGAGGAGGAGGAGGAGGAGGAGGAGGAGGAGGAGGAGGAGGAGGAGGAGGAGGAGGAGGAGGAGAGAGGAGGAGGAGGAGGACGAGGGGGAGGAGAGGGAGGGGGAGGAGGAGGAGGAGGAGGAGGAGGAGGAGGAGGAGGAGGAGAAAATCCACGCTGGTGCCGCGCGGCCAGAGGGGTCGCCAACACCCTCTGAGCATAAGCTTCGCACTGCCGCCAAGCGACGGCGGCGGCACGGAATCTGCGATCACGTCAAGCATGGCGGCCCGGATACAGTTAGAGCAAGTAGCAACTGGCCGTCAGCAGTAGACAATCAATCAGGCGACAAGCAAAACAAGGGCTCAAGCAAGGACGCTCTTGAGCAATCACGCAAGCAAACCAACGAACAGTCGCGATCGCTCGTGCATGCGTGAAATGTTCAACCACGCAAGCATGATGGAAGTGTCGGCTTCCCACAAATCAGCCCCTCTCCTGGCCTCCCCCTCTCCTTTTCCTCCCTCCCTGAGAGTGGTGTGAGTAGTGGAGCAGAAAGGATGGGTCGGATCGAGCCCACCCATCCCTTCTCTTTGAGTTGAATCCTTTCCTGTCCGCCGACTGGGGTGTCCTAGAGGATCTTGGTACCCAAATGGCAGCTTTGGCATCTGACCCCAACGTTTTCTTCGCAACCTGAGAGGGGGGCGTTGCACATTGGAGGGGGGAGAAGCCGGATGAGCGGGAGCAGAAAGAAGAGGAAGAACGAGGGTGAGGAGCAGGAGCACGAGGAGCAGAAGGAACATGAGGAGCAGGAGGATCAGGCGGAAGTGGAGGAGGCGAAAGTAGGGGAACGGCGAAGACAAGGAGACAACTGGATCCACCAGTGTGGTCCACGCCGGGGCGGGGGCGCCCTTCTGAACGGCCGGGAGCAAAGCACCGACGAGTCTGTGGCCAACGCTGCAGCGAGAACACCGCTTTTGTGAAGGACCGAATACAGTCGGGGCGTTGACCTAAGGAACCCTAAATAAGGAACGAGGCCCCTTTTTTCCATAAGTTAACATTCGATTTCCTGTCGAAAACATAAGGAAAGCCTGAGGCAAGCTGTGGAACACTTAAGGAACGCGGAGCCCCTCCCCAACGAAAAGGGTTCCTTCTTCAGGTCCCCGACTGTACGCAACGATTGATGACAACAGGACACAAGACCCCCTCCGAGGGCCACATCGCCACAGGCATGCAGGAGGCACGGGTCGCGAGGCACAGGATGCAAGGGTACTCTTGAGCTGGCAGGGTCGACCTACTAATCCGGACCGACTGTAGGACAGGCACACAAAATGAAGCAGTCCTGTGTAAAAAAGGGCTCGGATCCAGAAAACATCACCCGTGCTTGGCGAGAGCGCCACCCTGAACGACAGGAGTCGAGCACCGATGCGGAAGTGAGGCCCACGCTGCAGCGGGAGCACCATCTTAAAACACTGAGAAAAATCGGATGGTAAAAACTTATATACACACATACACATACATATACACATACACACACACACACACACATACACACACACACACACGCACACACACACACACACGCAAACAAACAAACAAACAAACTACCAACAAACAAACAAACAAACATACAAACACACACACACACACACGCGCGCGCGCACGCACGCACGCACGCGCACGCACACACTCACACACATACACACACACACACTAGTAACAGCTGTAACTACAGCTGTCAACTCGCATGTCCTTAATCATACCGTCCCGCCCATCTTCAACTACACGTTTCAGCCAAATGTAGAAGTGTTGCAATATGACGACTCTGTCCTGAGTTTGGTGTCAGCTCTGTTCAGTTGTCTTCGCATTGTCGTCACCGTCTGCTTGATTCTGGGAATCAAGCTGCTCCAGGCTGTAGGTGTAGCAATTCTGACCTGCCCCCGGATCGCTCTCGGAATGAGCGTAGCTGTATGGCTCAGGCCCTGTGCGGTGAGGGGGGATCCTTAAACCCCATTACCATCTCCCAAGGCTGGTCAGGGCCAGTCTTTTTGAGCATCTTACTCTTATCTCATCCCATACATATATCCCATAGCATCTCCTCTATTCTGTCTCCTTCTGTGGTGTACTGCGAGTGCTCTGACCCCACGTCCGAGAGCCGGGCGTGACAGAAACCGAGGCCGGCGACTGCCGAGAGAAAAAAGACAGGAATCGTCGTAACGCCAGGGGCTGGGGGTTAGCACGTGCCGCAGTTGCAAGATAGGCTCCTTGGAACTTTATCGTATCTTCGAGTCTTTCGACTTCCGCGCTGACTTCATCGAGATCTTTGGTGTGGAGGTGCACAGAAGGGGGTCTGTCGTAACGGCGCTTCGCGTGGAGGGTTGTCGTAACGGCGGTCTGGGAGGAGGAGGTGTGTAACAGTATTGGAAACACAATACCGTGCTTGTACCGCATCGTGTGGCAGTACGGGACAAAACTCAGTTTCATACATATCGATGTTTTCTGCAAAATTTGTTTGGGAGTTCTTCGGGCGTCAGTATTCAGATGCACTGTGGTTTAGTTGTGGGGACATGGCCAAGCTGTTGGGTAAGATGCCAGAGAAGCAACTGTATACGTGCTTCGCGCGAATCTTGCATAGCAGAGGCTACCACGGTGAGGTCAAACCGGAGGCGCTCGCAAGGTTCTTGCATAGATGGGCACAGTCAGGCTTCGCCGGTCCTCTGAACCATGGTGAGCTTAGGCAACTATACGGTTTGCTTGGTGCTTGGGCGTTCTCCAGTGACGTAAAGAGCTGCAGGCGGGCGGACGGTGTGTGGTCGCTGATGTGTTCATGTTCCCAAGTGCTTGCGATACATGAACTTTTTTGGAAGAGTGATCATCGACACTATCTAAGAGTAGTTCTCCGTACTTTTCCTGAGCGGGTACAGAAAGCAATCTTACACCGCGATCTGACTTCATCATCGTGGAAGTTATATATAATGCACTTGTTTTTCGCGATTTGGTTGCCTTCGCAGTTCCCCCGGGAATCCGCGGTATATACTGCATGGATGTCGAAATGTCCATCATGGTATGTTGGTAAGGCCAATGTGATTAGGGTGCACAACACGGGCTGGACGGAATCAGGACTTATGCGACGTTTTCAAGAACATATGCTTGCGATAGTTCGTCCACATCATGGTAATTACACATACGATAGGTATAAGACTTGGGGTAAGTATGTACAGGCAGATTTTCGATGGGTAGCTGATTTTTGGGCCAACGAAACGAACGCGTACGCTTTTGAGAACACGGTGATAAAGCACTTGACCCCCCCGACCCAGAAAGCTGCGCATACGTGTAAGGACATACAGGTTGACCGTCTGCGCGCATGGCCGAGGATGAGAGTGAAACCGTCGTTGAGTCGTGAAGTGGAGCTCAATGTGCAGTTGTATTTCCGTAGGTTGAAGTATGATGGGGATGGGGCGTTCTCGTTTGCTGTTGGATATGGTAACGGGCGTCGGCATGCTGAGCATGATGACGGACGCCACTGCCAAGATGTTCAACAGCTGACTGCATGGTTGAAGTTTCGTGGACTGGAATTGTCTACTGCGCGCATGTATCAATGCATGTACACTGTATTTTGTGCTGTATGGTTAGCTCTGTACTTATCCGAGAGGAACACGCACCTAGATTACCAAGCGGTTTGGAAACACCCCAACCCGGTCCGTCTCTGTTTGGTGGTTTGGAAGCACTCTTTGGGACTAAGCTTACAACGAGCAGCACGAGTACAACGCAAGATATTTAGATTTCTATCGTCTAGTGGAATTTTCTCTGTAAAAGTACGGACTATAAGAGTATGTACATATTCTGATCGGCTTGTACAACAAGTAAAACGTGTAGTACGGCAGATCGTGTGGGGAGTCGCTCGTTCCCAATACCCTGAACTGGCGTTGTTTCTAAAGAGTCGTATTCGTGTCGTGCAAGTTCGCCCGAAACGTTACATCGACCTCGTGCAAGGCAACATCCAGTAAGCCCAGCAATTTAACCTTCAGAGTCTCCTGCATCTTGATCGCGAGGCACAGGCAGCATATGATCGCAGGCTTGACGTTACGAAGCGTGATGAATATTGGGATTTACCTTGCCCCGAAAACCGTGATGAAGTACGAGAGGCTGTTGAAACTCAGATTGTGCAGTTGCTGACGGATTTAAACTTACCATATCTTGTTGGCACCAGCCTGAGATGGGCGGACACTGTCGATTGGACGATCCAGCCGGTTGTAGACATAACCCAGTGTTATGAATGGCCGGCACAGCACCAGGTTATGGTAAATTTGGACAAGAACCCCAGGCAAAAAGCAGTTGCTGATAAGGTTGGTTATTTTTGGCGGCTCGGCAGAGGGTTTCTAGATGATGATCATTATCGAGTTTGCCCAGGAGAATCGCCTTCACCCTAGTTGAACGAAAAGCTGAACTCTATGCTCGGTATGTGCCGGCGCGGTGGCGGAAAACTGTGCAGTACAGCGCTGAGCATTGCCAGTACGCGTACCACAATTATAAAAACAAATGCCATAGTACGCACGGCGGATTGCGATGCAACAAAACGCACACGCACGACAGAGAAATTATTTCAGATTGGAAAAACCCACACAGGCGCTTCTTCAAGCTTATTGCGCGGAGTATCCGGATATTGCAAATGAACTCAGGACGGGCATCTTGGACGATTTGGCGCCAGCTTGAACTGAAACAGGTTGTGCAACATAGGGTTGCGCATCTCATCGATGATTCGCGCTGGGCGCATTGTTGCCCAGGCTGCCGGTGCGCGAAAACTCAGCAGTTGCAAATGGTAAAGCTTGATGCGGCTCAGTTCTTCAAGGCAGCGAGCATCCAGCGCGGCATTTCTCGAGTGAAGGATCT